TAATGCTAGCAAATGTGTGTCAGTGATATTCACTTCCTTAGCCTCCCATAGGCTACCTTCACTCTATTTTTTCCACCTAAATGGTACGTATGACATGTACGGAATAGCATGACTAAGTTCATGCCTACACTGAGTTCAAGCCTAAGTTCATGTCTAACTAAACTCATGATGATAACAAAAAATCATTGCCTTGGAAGTATTAGTCAAAAGCTGACTCATGATTGACGGGTTACGCTTTAATTCGTACATTTTGCTGTGAAGTGGAGGAGGGATAATTTCAACTCAAGCTTCTACTTGGCTTCCACTCACCAGGGGATCTAGGAGGCTTGAACCGCGGACCCCACCTGTGTGTGAGGCCTTGGCTCACTATTTACTTGCCCCAGATGAACAAAGGTATCATGTGAGAGGAAACGTGCCAAACCTTTTTTGTCCCACGAAGAGATTCAACTCATGTCGTCTCTCGATTGGGAGCTGGGAACGTAGGCTACTGTGCTACAAGACCCAATAAAAACTGGCCGAGTGAAGTTCAGGCATAATAAGGGCGTCGAACCCGTATTTTTGTTTGTAAACGTCAAAAATTCAACCTTATTTAGCGTTAGCATGTTATATTTTATACGTATTCGTTGTATGTATCATAGACATTCTAGCTTCCCATACACATCACGGACCTCCGGATACAAACTGGAATACAGGTGAATCATATATGCGTTACAGAGAGTAAGTCACATTAACGTGGTTGAGAATGAACAATTCAATCCACACAGTGGGTGGCTCCGTGGTAACATGCACTCCCCACATCTCGCGAGCTGTTTCGTCTGGGTTTGAGTCCTGGCCAGGGAGGATTGCCTAGGCTCCAAACCTTAAGTGTACGCCTCTGTTCACCCAACAGTAATTGCGTACCTGGTTGTTAACCAATGAGTGGGTGGTGTTCCAGGGAACACTAGTGTGATAAGGATTGCCTTAAGCTACGGAAACGGGAAAGCCTTCAGCCTGATAACAGGAGCCAGGAGTAAGTTGCTCCTGTAACCACCTGGTAACAGGAGCCAGGAGTAGTCTACTCCTGTAACCACCTGGTAACAGGAGCCAGGAGTAGTCTACTCCTGTAACCACCTGGTAACAGGAGCCAGGAGTAGTCTACTCCTGTAACCACCTGGTAACAGGAGCCAGGAGTAGTCTACTCCTGTAACCACCTGGTAACAGGAGCCAGGAGTAGTCTACTCCTGTAACCACCTGTGTAAATATATATGAAAATAAATCAAGGTGATGATGTTTTGGTCTTTCACCAAGGCTTGACAAAGGGTTCAGGACGGAGCTAAAAGTCGCTTGGTAAATATGCATCGTGTCGGTGGAGTAAATGCGTTTTATTCCACAAAAATGTAACGCAATAGAATGTTTTGTCGTGACGAGGTACGTCACAGATAATAATGTGAGTGGAAGTACATGTCGCTTATGACTGGTCGTTGAGAAATGTCGCATCCGGAGGGAGATATATGACTAATCTCTGATTATTAGTTTATAATCAGTATTTATATTTTGTGCATGAGCGTGCGTGCGTGCGTGCGTGCGTGCTGGTGCTGGTGAGGTGGAGAGAGAGTGCGTGGTGGCTCATCACCCACTCTTCAAGGATTAGTGGAGAGAGAGAGTGTGAGTAGCTGCTCACTTCAAGGACTACTGTATTGCAACCTGTCGCTGTTTGCCTATCACTCACTTTGAGAGTGATTGCCGATGATTCAAATTATCCCCCCCCCCCCGTCATCATACTGAGAGCTCATCATACACAAGCGGAGCTGTACGATATCTTCTGTTTACTCAAGGGGGAGGGGGATGGTGTTGTGTTGACTGGCGCACGATTCTTTATAAACACACTGACATGACTCCCGCCATGCGCACTGTCAGAGGGAGCAGTCTTATTCCAGGCTGGGTCATGACCACTCGCTGTGACAGTAACAGTCTAGGGCATGACCCCGCCCTGTGACAGGGACAAACTGGGGTCGTGATTACTTATTTCCCGTGACAGTGACATGTCGAGTCTTTAACATTTCCTCAGACAGTGACAGGCGTGAGTAAGCATTCACACCCACAAGGGTGGTACGTGATCACTGAGACACAGGTGGAAACTGAGTACCTAAATAAGCCACAGTCATGTCAGAAAAACATTTTTTTAAGTGTCATAGTAGTTAACAGATGGAATGCACTAGGAAGTGATGTGGTGGAGGCAGACTCCATATACATGTAGATATGATAGAGCCCAATAGGCTCAGGAATCTGTACACCAGTTGACTGACAATTGACAGCCGGGACCAAAGAGTCTGAGCTTATCCCCCGCAACCACAACTAGGTGAGTACAGCTATGTAATAACACACACACACACACACACACACACACACACACACACACACACACACACACACACACACACACATTACAAACCAGTATTACCGATGTCCCATTTTCCCCTACTGACACATCTACCTTCGGCAGGACTCGCGGCCTGCCAACAGCGCTCCATCAGCGGTGGTGGACGGCGGCGACAACGAGTCCAGGCCAGCAAGACCGAGGCGGCAGCCTTCAACTGTCCACAGGACTTCGGCTACTACCCCCACCCGACGGACTGCACTCAGTACTTCGTCTGTGTCTTCGGCGGAGCTCTTCAGGAATCATGCACCGGAGGACTTGTCTACAGGTGGGTCCAAACGGTTTATCAAAAGCCTTGCTTAGATAAACTTTTAGTTTTTTTGAGTAATTTTACTTCAATGCAAAGTACTCTCAGTTTTCAATCTAAATATTTTGACAAACATTTGTTAGAATCCTGGAGTGGAAAGGTGAGTTAAGGGGAAGAGACTGAGCTGTAAGTGAAGAGAGCTTGTGAGCACGATGCCTCGTGAACACAAGTGTTCATATGGACTCACAAGTGTGTACGTGTTCACAGATGTACTCAAGGGTTCACAGTAAAGTATGAAAAAATATGTTAAACGTAGGACTGATGCTGTTGGCACTTTATCTCACAGGGGGATGGAATAACAAGGGTGTACCCAGGTGTAGGAGAGACTGGGTACTCCAGGGTGTACCCAGGTGTAGGAGAGGCTGGGTACTCCAGGGTGTACCCAGGTGTAAGAGCAACAGGTGTGTTTCACACTCTCGCACCTTTGGATTGGATTGTGCTTTCGTTAAATACAGCATTTTTGTCTGTATTGTGTGTGGTCGCAGAGCTAATATTCTCGGTACATTTATCTGTGTAACACCGTGTAAAATTCGCTATAGTTCTCATCTGTCTCGCCACAGTCCTCATCGTCTCCAGCCTCACCATTGTCTCCTACTTACAGCCACGAGCTGGAGACGTGCGACTGGCCTCGTAACGTCGATTGCAACCCGTCCAAGACCAGTTCTGGCATCTCCACGGTGAAGGTCACCGACCCGAGGACCCAGAGCACGAGTCCCATCAGACCCTCCACCGAGGCGCTTACACCATCCGTCGGGTAGGTCTTCCGTTGGGTAGGTCGTCATACCCCCGTTGGGTAGGTCGTCATACCCCCGTTGGGTAGGACGTCATACCCCCATTGGGTAGGTTGTCATACTCCCGTTGGGTAGGTCGTCATACCCCCGTTGGGTAGGACGTCATACCCCCATTGGGTAGGTTGTCATACTCCCGTTGGGTAGGTCGTCAGACCCCCGTTGGGTAGGACGTCATACCCCTGTTGGGTAGGTCGTCATACCCACGTTGGGTAGGACGTCATACCCCCGTTGGGTAGGTCGTCATACCCCCGTTGGGTAGGTCGTCATACCCCCGTTGGGTAGGTCGTCATACCCCCGTTGGATAGGACGTCATACCCCCGTTGGGTAGGACGTCATACCCCCGTTGGGTAGGTTGTCATACCCCCGTTGGGTAGGTCGTCATACCCAGCTCTTCTCCCTTGCAGGTGTTATGGACGTTGTTATATAAGGCTCTGTTCCCTCTCCCTGTCTTGTTCCTATCAAACATTAAGATGTAATTCAACTTTAACTTCCCTTTCCCTACTCTCCCCAATTATACCTCCGAGGAGTTAATTTACCGTGTAAATGATATTGATTCATTAATTCAGTTCAGTTCTCATATATTTTTTTCCCTTCGCTACATGTAAGGTAATCTTTCCGCCTCACTTATTGTTGCTAGAGGTCATAGAATGTATGCACCAGTTCTCTCTACCCTCCAGAGAGTCACAGGACCTTCACTCACGCACCTTTCTGCCCTCCAGCAGTTTTGACGCTCGTTTCGATCACACGTTCAGCTCCTCACAGACTCACCGCACCGCCCGGCCTGTGAGTCTCTTCAAATATTTTTATTTTATTTTCCTAAACAAAACAACTGATTTTAGTGTTACTAAATATTTTGTTTATACCTCATTTATTGATTTCTATTTTAGTAATATTTGTTCATGTCTCCCTCTATCTATCGGATCAATGTCTATCTACCTGGGTAAATCTATTTATACCTAATATATTATTGTATGTGTGGCAGTTCGATGGCGGTGATAGATCGAACAACCAGAGAGCTCTCTTCCTGCAGGAGTCCAGCCCGAAGCAAGCGCTCGTCTCTCCCCAGTTCTCTCAACAAGCTTTCTTTGACACTCCCGCGGTGAGTGGAGGAACTCCTTGGCTACTGGGTGGGCTCTCTCTTAATGTTTAGTGTGTTGGCAATCACCTCATTGCTGACGGACCATCAGAGTGTTGGTCAGATGGCAATGAATGCTGGTTACACCGCCATGTTTACTGCTTAGACCTCCATGAGTAAATAATAGACCCTAATGAGTACTGGTTGATCCCTCATGAATGTTAGACTCCCATGAGTAAAGAATAGACTGGTACTGGTTAGACCCCTAATGAATACAGATTAGATCTCCACGAGTACATGTTAGACCCGTATGAGTATTGAGTATAGACGCCATGAGTATAATGGGTAGACCCCATGATTGACCGTTGATTCAGCCCGGCCTCTCGAGTTGTCAGAACGGTCAGAAAATGATGTACTAAATTGCCCGAACCTAACCAAACTGATGCACCCACGCACAGAAAACGTGATCCTTTGCGAATCATTATAATTTATAGTACCTTATATTTTAGTCGGTAGGGAAATTTGTCATCAAAATACCATGAATTCGAGAGGACAGGATGGTTGATTAGAGGAGATCTGGTCGGGGACCGGGCCACGAGGGCGTTGAGTCCCGAAATCATCGTAACGTAGTCGCAAGGTAGACTCCGTACTCACACCTCCCCCCCTTCCTCCCATCCCCCCTCCACTCCAACACCCTTTGCTCCAGTATCTAATTAGTAACCGCCTGCTGTTCCAGCTTCACCTCCTGTACGTTCCAGAAATGTCAGAAGGTAGAGAATATTGACCTCCTTTGCCTCACCTCACTTGACGGTAAAGCGACGGCTTCGCTTCATGCAGGTCGGCGTTCAATCCCCCGACCGTTCCAAAAGTGGTTGGTCACCATTTCGTCCCATCCCAAATCCTTATCCTGACCCCTTCCAAGTGCAATATAGTCGTAATGACTTGGCGCTTTCCCCCCTTTCCTTCACCTCTTCCACTTGCTTACCAGCAGTTTTTCCGTGGTCACTAAACGCCATTATATCTGTCCCTGTGAGTTTCTCAAGCGACCCTCGTAAGTATAAAGAGAAAATCCGCGAAAAAGAGTTCATCAAATTTTCAAGTCGGTTCTGTGGCAATCATTCAACTTTAATAAACTTTTCTATGGTTCATTAATAACCAGTGAAGAATAAAAGCCAGTTGATTACCACTGATAACCAGTGGTCGAGTCTGGCCCCAGGCAGGGCTCGAGGAGAAGAACTCACGAAACCCTCTTCAGGTATGCTCCAGGTATACTACCGGCATACGGGCCTGTCACAAATGTATTAGCTGTTCAGAGATATACCAAGTCACAGTTATAAAATAACTTTCTATGGGTTTTGTGTTAATTTCAACTTGAACCAGCATCACATATCATTTCAGCTTGAACCAGCATCACATAGTTCAGACTGAACCAGCATCATATCTCAGCTTGAACCAGTATCACATAGTTCACACTGAACCAGAATCATATCTCAGCTTGAACCAGCATCACATATCATCTCAGCATGAATCAGCATCGCATATTATTGAGTTAGCATAGCTACAAGTGGTCCAGTTGGTCTTTCACCAGCCACTTGCCTTACTTTAAGAACCTTCAATAATGCCGCATTTCTCCCGTAGGTGCAGCAAACCAGTCGAAGGGCCCAGCTTAGAGCCAAGCCCGCCACCTTCTCTCCACACGTGTTCCAGTAAGTCTTCTGGACTCTTTCAGACGATGTGTACCTGTCAAAACGCGTCTCTAAACTGGACTGGCCTTCTTTAAACTTTCTGTTCTCCTTTATTATCTTAAGTTTTTTGACGTAATAAGTGGACAATGACTAGAATACTCACTCACAACGTACAATTTAAAAGACTAACCCTAAAGCATAGAGTTAATGTAAGGAGTGGATTTCATTCATTCATTCATTTCATGCTAATTGATACAATATTTGATACCTCATTTTATGCCAGTAAAAAAATTATTATAATAACGTTCAAGTGAATGACCTGAATGACTGGCGATGTAAGTTACTCATGTGGATTTAAATCGTATACTATGTAATATTGCATATGTAATATTGCATGTTATATAATAATAATAATAATAATAATAATAATAATAATAATAATAATAATAATATTTAATAATGGTAATTTATCATTTCCAATATGTAACATTTCCATATCACACTAAGTAGTGTGAAGTGTGAATCCTCAACAATTGCTGGTCACTTTTGGTGCCTATTATGTGGATATCACATAGTTTGTTTAGTCAAATGTAGTAAATATAGCGTTCAAGTTGAAAGAAATTGATTCATAAAAAAATACGCTTTTAGTGTCTGCTTATCGAGTCATTGTCAACAGAAGCACCCATTTTAGAGGTCACTAAACGCTGCTAGAGAGTTCTTAGCCAGCTTCAAGGCCCCAGTGTTTTATCCTATGTTAAGCATTCATTAGCAATAATTAACATTACTGAATTATTAATCATCGGTCAAATCATCCCGAGCTTCAGATGAGACGAAACATCGTTCTCTCTCTCTTCCAAGACGTTTATTTTCCTCGTGCATGATTATCTACGACTATTGACAAGACAATGATGAATATACAGTGATGAATGTATGCTGTGGCTGTTAAATGTACCCAAATCATTACGAATTAAACTCTCGTTTACAGAAAAATTGAATTTCTATCAAGAAATACAATGTCAAATTATTTGGTATTACCCAAAGCAGCATAAAATAGATTATATTATATATATTTCTAAACTGTATCACATCAATAGACAATTGGCAAACAAGATTAATTCTCTACTTACCTCATTGTGAGGTTAGTGGTTGTCTACTGAGAGGACACCCTCACCAGGTTAAGGTACAAAAACATTAAGGTATTTTGACTGTCATGTATATTAAAGTTACTCCCTTCAGTGTATGATTACGGTGGGTGAGCCTACCTCTCCTCGGCCCAGTCACCGGTAGATAGACGCACAAGGAGACATATACACATGAAGACAAATACACCGATAGATTGATACACTGGCAACGACAGCAATACGTAGAGATTTATATGCATTAGTAAATCGTTATTGGCAAATATAATATATTTAAAAAAATAAACAGTATTATATATATATATATATATATATATATATATATATATATATATATATATATATATATATATATATATATATATATATATATATATATATATATATATATTGCTACATTAAAGATAGAAAAGGATTCTTGGTCTGCTAGAACTACAAATACTATTATTTTAGTCTTAGATTACCTCCCTAATTTTCAATTGAAATAAGTGTCAATGTTTAGAGTTCCTTTGTTTGAGGCAGGACTATTTAGAACCGGTCAGTGCTATAGCGAGCCAGAAGTTTTAGGTAGCGGTCATAGCTGAAGCTGTAGCGAGCCAGGTCTGTTAGTAAGTAGCCATAGCTGTTATGTGAATTAAAGATAGGTACTTAGAGTATACACTGAAGATGTTTTGTCTCCAGAGTAGAGCCTCAGCTTACTAAGGTGATAATACCCAAGCCGGAGACAAGTTGGCTGTCGTACCAAGTGGTCAGAGCACACAGATATGCACATGGTATTTACTGTTAGTTGTGGTGGGGGCCGAGGAGCTGGGTGTGGTAAGCTTACGAGTGTTTGTGTGAAGGTGGCGCCAGCTGCAGTCACTCGAGAAGAAGTCGAGGCCTGTGCGCGAGGCACCCGAGGCCAAGCTTCATCAGCGAGACCTGACTGTCCTCGACGCCACAGACTCTGACTCTGGACACTCCTCCCTAGAAGCGACCTTACCTCCTGCCGCCCCTGCCAGGTTTGGGCCTCTGCACCCTACCCTCAGCACCAGCCCACACCACCAGCAGCAGCAGCAGCAGCAGCGACCCTCCGCGGCACCAGCAGCAGAATCCTCTTCCAGGAGCATCCGATCCCACTTTCCTGATACCCCTACACCTGACCAAGGGTTTGCTCGCAGGCAGTCCGCTCCCCAAGGCAACTTTTTCCACCAAGATTTTTTTTCTAGTTTTCCCTCCAATCTATTTGGACAGCAACCCAGGCCCCAACACATCTTCCCGCGACAGTCATCATTAGCTAATCCTCTTGGGAATTTCCAGAATTTTAACCCATTCACCGCAGCATTCGACACGAGGCCTTTCTCCACCCCCGCGCGCGAGCAGCCGCAAAAACCTCCCTTCCAACAGCGAATCCGGCCCCACAAACAGCGAACAAGACCTCAAGTTAACCCATTCCGTCACAGGCCTCAACCCAAGCCATTCCCCATTAGATCGCACTTGAAACCCGTCCAATCACATTTTCAACTAGAGTCAAATCCAGCGAGGCCCCAATCCTTCCCAGATAGCCATGTTCAGGACTTGCACATCCCAGGACCGTACTCCGAGCCTTTCCTACCACAGGAGGCAGCTGTTCCGACCGCTGAGCGATACGACATATCTCTTTCACCCCCATCTCACTTAGAACCAGTTGAACCCCTCCAGAACCCAAGATTTCCCCAATTTCAATCCCAAATAGAGCCTCTGTTTCCATCATCGCCTCAGCCGCAGCAGATTTTCTCTTCCTCGCAAAAGCCCCAAGTTCATTCTAGCTATGTCAAGCCCGAGAACATTCAATTAATTTCAGAAACTCAAACTTCAACCTTTCCACCCAGACCTCACCCTACGTCACCAGTACCCAATATCACTTCACTTAAACATCGTGTCACTTCGCCAAAGCCTCGTGTCACTTCGCCAAAGCCTCGTGTCACTTCGCCAAAGCCTCGTGTCACCTCGCCAAAGCCTCGTGTCACCTCGCCAAAGCCTCACTTCACCACACCAAAGTCACAGGTCACAACAACACCTCATGTAACCACTTCGAAGCCCCGTGTCACCTCGCTAAGATCGCCCTTCACTTCTCAAATTTCTCGTCGCGTTCCGGTAACCCCGAGTCCCACGTCACCGGTGCCTCGACCCACCTCGCCAGAAACGCTTCCAGTATCAAATTCCATTGAGATCACGGATGAGCGTCCGATAAGAACCCGCCGCCCTGACACTTCTACTAGACTAGGCATTTCCCCAAGGCCACACCCGTCAACATTTCCCCCGTTTTCAAAGATCAGAGTGACACAGACGACCGGCCAAAATCCCAGAGTCTCGCAAAAGTTCATCCCTGGTGTACGACCTCCTCAAGTGCCAGGCACCGCGAGGCACCCTGAGCTCTCGAGACTGCCTGCGAGTAACCCTAAGACCCCGGACTCGACCCCATCCTCCCAAAGCCTTCTTCCCAACACCCAGGACAGCCGCCAGCCACCCAGGTATCCCACGACACTGCCTTACATACACCTAAGACTGTTATCGTTTCTATCTGCTCTTTCTACAAAAATTCAATTCATATTTCTCCCATGTGTAACTCCTTACTACGGCTATCCTCTTGAAAACACAGCTTGAGTCTCTTATGGTTATGTTGATGACAAAAAACAAGTCTATTTTCTTCGCAAGATCCCACTTCTGATAACTTTCTTTCCGGTGTGGAATAAACACTATAAAGACAGAACTGAACTGTGAAACTTTATTTACAATTTCAGCGGACAACACAATTTCGACAGACTGACTTTCTATATGTGTGTGATTATTTATTTGACTTATCTTTCATATTTATAAAATCCGAATGCAGGTAATTAGACCAACTTCAACAACATTCTTGCAGTATGTATGCAAAGGTGAGGAACACATTCACAACTTGGAAATTAAGTTAGATTTTCAAAGCACCATTGTTTGCTGGTTTTCTGAGCTGGCTTACCCAGCTTACAGATAGGGATAACTGAGTGCATAATAAGAGTACATGAAATAAGCTTTGTGGGTACGCCATCTCACTTGTGGAGCTTTTGTCAAGCTGAGAGTTGAGACAGATTATTATCACATATATGAAATAGATCGATGCACACCCACAGAGAAAGGCCTGGTAATGTATGACGTGCAGAGAGAGTAGAGCAGTTTAGTCCATGCAAGTACATAATCAACTAATTATTTTATCACTTGCAATGTTGACACTGTTCATTGCAGGAAGAGAGATGTATCTTAACACACATGTTTACGCAAAATTTCAACTCGAAGCATATATATGATGACTGAAGAAAGACAATGTTATAAGAGAAAGCCATAAACATAGCTGTTAATAGTTCAGTCTTAAAGTTATAATAATGACTTGAATATTATAGGTCCAATATATCATAGAATGGTCTGAGGTCACAGAAATCAGTGCTTACTCACACCCTTCACTATCTACAGAGCCACCACCCAGGCCCCGGCCCCTCCAGCTCCCCAAGTAGACGAAACTCTCTACGCTGACCTCAACCTGACGGATCACGACTACCTGTACTACTACGACGACCTCCTGTACGGTGAGTTATCAGAACGGCACGAAATTTCCTCTGTAATCCGTGTCTACTCCTAATGTTATGAAGGCTTCCGCCGTCACGAGGAATGTCAATAACTACTGCTGTGAAGCTGACTCCTTGAGAACCGGTTAGTGCTCGATATCAGGAACCACGTCTTCTGTATTTACGTTAAAACCTGAATCACCTCTTGTACAGTTATTCACTACCTCAATAAATGGTTTGGTCTCCCTGTGTCAGCAACAGGAAGTACGGTAAGTTTCTCGAGTATCTATACATCTTAACATACAAGACATTGGAGAGTTTCTTCAAAATATGTTTCCTATGTATACTCAGTATACCAGTATACAACTGGTTCACCATTGATTTGGAAAGAGGTTCGTTGATTTATGGAACAGATTGTTTCATTCATCATACTCACAGGTTCAACTCCTGCCAGTGTATAATGTACTCACAGGTTCAACTCCTGCCAGTGTATAATGTACTCACAGGTTCAACTCCTGCCAGTGTATAACGTACCCACAGGTTCAACTCCTGCCAGTGTATAACGTACCCACAGGTTCAACTCCTGCCAGTGTATAACGTACCCACAGGTTCAACTCCTGCCAGTGTATAACGTACCCACAGGTTCAACTACTGCCAGTGTATAATGTACTCACAGGATCAACTTCTACTTACAGACTACTATGAAACAGCGTCGCCAGCTCCGGCCGCTACTCAGGCCACCCGGGTGCCAGCACAGAGACAACAGGGCACACACACCCCACAAAGGTAACCACGAGGCTCTAGGTCTCTCGATATTCCCTCGTTACTAAGTATATTTTCATGTTACTGAGTACAAACAGCCTCAGTATGTTGCTTTATCCATCTGGTAACGTTTTCTTGCATCCTTTTTTTTTTCTTCAGCATATATATATGTATTGTGTTTTAAAATCTGGCTGAAAAAAGTTGTGATATATTTTTGTGTAAGCAATGAACACAGCAGATAAAAACGTCATTGAGCTCCGTTTATCGAAAGTTTCGAAAGTGACCGAGGAGGACATGCGGTACAAAATTTGTTTTTTATTTATATAAATATATGTAAAGAGAAAGAGAGTACAGACAACACTGCACAATTACGTGGTTGAAAATTGGAAAAACAAACCCACAATTCTGAAAGTAAATAGAGTACGTTTCGGTCCATCCCTGATCGTTATCAGGTCGACTTCATAAAGAGTCCAGGAGACGGACCGAAACGTCATCAATTCCATTTTTTTTTAAATATTGAGAATATTGACAATTTTTTCATTATTTTGTGAGTGGGTTGTCTAGAGAAAGAAAAAGAGAGTTTACAACATAAACGAGGACAGTTATCCAACACCTGCGTATCAATGTGTCCCTCTGGTGAAGGTCGTTCACCAGCCAGACACCAGAGGACACGACGCCCCATAAACACACCTGTGTCACGGCGCTGTTCCAGGATCATCCCGCCGTACATTTGTGTACACACAATTCTCTTTCTCTCTCCCCCTGGCTTTCCCTTACTCATTAGGGATTCTCTTCTGCCCGATCACTGTGGTTCGGTAGTTCCTACACAAGGCGTCGTTGGGGGGGTCCTGCGACAGTGGCCAACCCTCTACTTTCCAACAAAGAACTGGTTACTCTTTTTTTGCAATATTTACCTTTTCTCTTGGCGGTTAAGTGCTTAATTCTGATGAGAAATAAACAAGAAAGACGCATATAACAGAGCCATTACTTGACATGTTATTACTAGAAATAAATTTTTGAGTGTTTTCCAAATGCAGTTCTTTTGCAATTTTCAACATTTTGTGTTGCAAATATGTAAAAAAACAATAATTAAGCATTATACATCTTCGTTGTGATGCTGATTCTAATTATAGTTTACGTAATGAAAAACATAAGCAGAGTTTTTCCGACTCATGATCTAGTTCCTGGTGGTTTTTTTTGGACACTTTTGACCT